GTGTGGTGTAGAGAGCAGAACTGAACTGGGTTTGTTCTGGGCTCAGATTCGTTATCCGTGAAAGCCTCGCCCCGTTGTCCCTGTGGAGCAGCGTGTTCTCTCTGTGGCGCGGGGTGTTCACCTGTTCCAGCTCAGGAGTAAAGTTCTGAGGCTGAATTTTTCCTGCCCTCTGGCATCGGTCTCCGTGGGCTGAACAGAGACCTGGCCTACTGGAGGAGCGTGCTGGGGCTGCAGGGTACAGGCCGTGGGCAGGGTTGTGTCCCCTGGGGCTCACAGCCCATGGAGGGCCCCGCTGAGAGAGGGAGCCTGTGAAGTCGCAGCGGAGCAGCCCTGGGGAAGCCTGGCTGGTGCCGCCGGGCGGCTGCTGGGAAGAGCTGGCGCAGTAGGTAGGTGCAGTTACGCTTCTCCCCACCTCAGTGTTACTGGCGTGCGTGAGGATGGCAGAGCAGGAGCCAACGGCGGAGCAGCTGGCCCAGATTGCAGCTGAAAACGAGGAGGACGAACACTCCGTCAACTATAAGCCACCTGCCCAGAAGAGCATCCAGGAGATCCAGGAGCTGGACAAGGACGATGAGAGTCTGCGCAAGTACAAGGAGGCGCTGCTGGGCGCCGTCACCGTGACCGCAGGTGAGCCCAAGGACGTGGCTGTGCCTCACTCCAGCCACAGCTCCGTCGCGCTGCCCCCGTGCCGCTCTCTGGCCCTGGGAGTAAGGCACAGGGACCGAGGGGGATGTGCCTGGGGGCACGGGGGGCTGTGCCTCATGCAGCGGGGAGCCCGGACCTTCCCTGAGGGGGTGTTCTCACTGGTTTTCTTGCTCTCTCAGGAAGCGCCCTGGTGGGAAAAGGACTTGTGTGGGTTGGTATCAGGGATGGGCGTTTAACAGCCTCTTTGCTTGTCTCCTAGATCCCAGTGCTCCAAACGTGGTGGTGACCAAACTGACTTTGGTCTGTGCTACTGCTCCGGGCCCTCTGGAGCTGGACCTGACAGGTGAGCTGGGAAAGAATTCCAGCCCTTCTCCCAGGTCGAAGCGGCTGGGTGTGGAGCCTGGCCAAAGGCGCTGCAGTGGCACTGCTAGCATGGTGGGCACACCTTCCCATGTCAGAAACGCCCCTGTGCTGGATGCAGGGTATGGTGCCCGCACCACCAGAGGGTTCTGTACTCTCAGCGTGGCAGCTGTGTCTTGGCACCCCCATCACAGCAAGAGGCTCTTCTGCTTCTGCCCCCGTGCCAGCCCCCCTTCCATAGGGAGGGGGACAGCTCCGAGATGGCGACAGCCTCAGAACAAACGTCTGCAAAGGACCTTTCCTGAGCGTTGCTGCACCACAGTGCCCGTTCACAGGGCATCGCCCGCCTCCGGCAGCACGGCACAACCCTCCCTGGAGGGACGAGCTGCTGCAGATGCTGCCCTGATCACCTCTGGCAACTTAGATTCACCCCAGAGCACAACACAAAGGGGCACTGAGCACCCTTCTCCCCTCTTCCTAGGTGACCTGGAGAGCTACAAGAAGCAAGCGTTTGTGCTGAAGGAGGGCGTGGAATACCGGATAAAAATCTCCTTTAGGGTAAGAACTCGGATCTAAAAACTGCAGAATGCGTGGAACACCGGAGCGCTGCAGTCCCAGCACAGGGACTGCCTGAGCCCTGGAAAGTGGTGTGATGGAGGGAATGGTCTCCTGCTGGGGCGGGGTGGGCAGTGTGTCCAGATGTCTGCGACAGCCCGTGCTTGTCTCTGCAGGTCAACAGGGAGATTGTGTCAGGGTTGAAGTATATCCAGCACACGTTCCGGAAAGGCGTGAAAAGTAAGTGCGTGTCAGGGACTCGGATGTGCTGTGTGGGGCCTCTCTGCTCTTCCGCTGCGGCGAGGCGGGTCGCCCGCTGGTGCCCCAGCAGCTCACGTGGGAGGAGAGAGTCTTCTGGGTCTGCTGCGGGGTGGCAGCCTGCAGCCCTGGCTGCACCCGCACCCCTGGTCTTGATGCGTGGTCCCCGGGGGAGCGCGGTGAGTGGATCACTGCCAACAGCGGTGCCAGCTGGGGGGATTGCTCCGGAAGGAGGAGCCGTTCCTGGAGTGAACGGAGCTGTTAACGTGGGTGATGTTCTTGTCCTCTTGGCTCCTCTGTGGATTGTGTGGCAGCAATGGATGTTCTATTTGCTTTAGCCTGCCCCAGACGCAGGCGAGGCTCTTCACAGCCTCCACCCCCCTCTCTTTCTCCTTCCAGTTGACAAGACCGAGTACATGGTTGGGAGCTACGGCCCCCGAGCAGAGGAGTATGAGTTTCTGACCCCCATGGAAGAAGCCCCTAAGGGCATGCTGGCCCGGGGCAGCTACAACATCAAGTCCAAGTTCACAGACGATGATAAGACTGACCACCTGTCCTGGGAGTGGAACCTGACCATCAAGAAGGAGTGGAAGGACTAGCCCTTCCCAAGGCCAAACCCCAGAGAGCGTGAATCAGACAGTGGCTACCGTAGAAATCCCCCCCGTACCAAAGTGCTGACGTTGGAACCCTCTTCCCTTCCACCCCGTTATGATTTGACCAGAGAGCTCAGTTTTGTAACGTGCCCCCTCCCCAGAGCATCGCTGAGTGCATTGACCACCCGTGCTGTCTGCATCTGGTCTCCAGCTGCCCCTCGCAGGGCCGCGCTGTGCCAGCGCAGAGCTGGGAGCACTCGCTCCCTCGCCAGGCCCTTCGCTGCGTCTCACCCTCCTGTACTGGGGTGGGTGCTGCGGGGAGAGACTCCTGTGTTCTGTGTAGGATCCTGTGCTCGGCTTTCCTGCGTGCAGCTCAGGGCGGCTACTGCCTCCCAGTAGCTGCAGAACTTTGATGCCAGGCAGCTATTGAATCCGTTCGTTGGCCAAAATCATGTCCGGCCCGCCCCTTCCACCAGTCAGTGTCCTGGGGAGGCTGGCAGCTTCATTTGTGGATGTTCCCTGTAACCATGATGCCTTAATGTGTAACATGTATCCTCTAGGGAGGGGGCCCTGCCCTTGTTACACTTTTTAAATGCCACCCACCCTCCCCCTGTTCGTTGGCATGGCACTCATCTTGGTCACGCCCCTTATGGGTTATTAGGAAAGATTCACAACTTCCTGCTTTGCTGCTGGTCCGTTCTTCATCTGAGACGGGGCATCTCCAGGGGAGGGTGGTGTGACGTCCTGGGTGACGCCCGGCCACCCCTCCTGGTGTCCAGAGAGCCTGGCAGGGCCCCAGCCCTGTCAGTATAGAGCTGCCAGCTCTCTGGCAGCCTCAGCACCTCTGAGGCGTGGCAAGGCAGGTGGGTGCGAGAGTCACCAGTGGTGCCACCACCTCACACTTCCCATTGCAGCCCAGGTGCTGCAACGCACTGAAATTCCAGGACAGCACCTGCCCTCCTGGCTGTTCTGGGCCGAGGACGGACCAGTCTGTTTCTGCGGCTGCGCTCCTGGTGGGATCACAGCTTGCAGGGGACGCGTGCCAGGAGCGGTTAATGCCTTACGTATCTGTTCTGCCTTGGAAATCGTGCCTGGCCTGCCGCTATTTATTGCCTTGACACCCGACTCGCCCGCCCCGCGCCGAGCAGCCCCTGCCGTGTGCCAGCCTGCCGCCGCGGCGCTCGGGGCACAGTCGCCCTCTGAGGGCTGGGCAGGCATGTTCCAGCTCCGCAGCCCTCTTGCTGGGATCCCGTCACGTGGAGGCCGTGTTAGAACTGGGACCAAGTACATGTGGCTTTCTTGTAGCTGCGTCTGCCTCTGCCTCCCCCTGCCCTGCCCCAGAGCGGTTTTTGTTCACTCGATTCGGTGCGTGTTGTCTGTAAATCCGAGACCCGGATCATCGTCTGCTTCTCCTTTTATGACAGTTAAATAAAATCTTGGAACTGACCATCTGCTGCCCGTTCTGCTTCTGTTCGGATCTGCGTCTCTTCCGCAGG